AAGAAAATAACAAAGCATAAAGTGATACACATTGACTAAAAGAATAAAACTGGACCGAATAAAGGTTAAAGAGAGCTGCTTTTTAAAGGGGACGTATCTTTAAAAGCTCTCAGTGCCTAATGACCCTCAATGAAATACAGAAATCATGTGATTCAACGAGCCAATCACAGTTGGTCTGTTATTTAACACCAGCTGACTCACCTGTTCCAGAGGTCATTGACGATTTCTGCAATTTGGGTCTCGCTTGGTCTTGTAAATTGAGCCTGACTGCTCCCAACAGACAGAAAGAGAGTTATTTGAAAAAATGAAATTCAGAGCATGATTAGAAGTCATTTATATTTCATATTTAAAATTTGTTTACTCACTTATCGGGACGGTCCACTAGATTGTTCATAGAACTCCCAACAGACGCAGACAACAGCAGCAGCACGGCCATCAGCCACAGCTTCGCCATCTGGACACAACATGAAGCTTCATGATCAGAGAAAAGAACGAGTCAACAAATACGTTGTCGTAGGCAAATTAGTGCTTTATGTATTTTATTTTATCGACAACTTTTATATTGTAAATCAACCACTAGACTGCCAAAATAAAATGTATGTAGGACCACAAATGTAAATCATGGTAAAGTTTTGACGAAAACGCACACTAATCATATAAAGCACCGTATGTAGAACAAAATAAAATGTTAACATGAATAAAAAGCATTATTCTGCAAAAAAATCTCCTTTAAGAATTCCATATATTTACTGTACCACTAATCTTTACTGCCGTCTGGTAGAAAGAGGTGAGTTCTTGTTCTTCCTTTTCTTCTTCTTCTTCTTGTTCTTCTTCTTCTTCTTCTTCTTCTTCACGTGTTGCTGCAGTGAAGACAGTCGGGAGGAAGCAGCGTTTATAGAGAGGAGCGTTTCCTCAGGGAGGTTCTTCTTTTGAACTTTCTCAGAAATGAGGAAGACGTTGAAGAAGGTTTGTTGGTGAGATGTGAGCTCACGGGTTCCGCCCAGCAGACGCTTCTGAAGACAAAGAAGAGGAAGTTTGTTGTTGTGAATGATGTTACTTGTCGCAAAAAAATATATATAAATATGTATATATATATATATATATATATATATATATATATATATTTTATGGTGTATAGGCATGTAATACAATCAACCTTTAGGTGGTTTATTTGTAGTCTACTGTTTACATTTTAATATTTGCTTTGCATGGCTATGATCCTAACTTTGGAAATGCGTTAATCCGAACAGACAACAAGTAGTCAAGGATGTTTACCCGCTGATCCGCGAGGCCTTTTATTGGTTTGGCGAGCTTGTTCGGGTCCACAGAACTCAGAGACAGATATCAGCACCACCATCATCCTCCGGATACAGTATGAAATTTAATGATCGCCCAATGTTTTCATTTTGTGGATAAAAGAAAAAAGACGAGTTGTTGTAGCAAACTTGGTCCATTTTCATTCAGTCAACATTTTACATCATTTTATCCATTTTGTGTTGGAAAACGGCCCCCAAAACGACAACAGCCAGACCCACTAGATGGCAAAAAAAAATGCATGTATGTAGGACGTGTATCATGCTACGGACGATGACCATATAAAGCACCGTGTGTAAAACAACATTAAATGTCAATAGGAAGGCTCCTGTGGACGTTGTTGTTTTACGGACCCCTGTGTGAGGGGAGGATGGCGTTGCCATCTGTTGGTGTAACAGAAGGCCGTGACCTTATTGCCACGGGAGCAACTCCTGTATCTTCCGTATGGAGGATGTTCTCCCGCCCAATCGGTCCGAGGGGACCCTCGTGTTTCCGTCTCCACGGCTCCCAGTCCTCCATCTTTGGGGAACAAAACACGTCAAAAACAACAACAACAGTGTAGCTCAGCGTAAAACCCCAGTGCTGCTGTAAGAGCGGCTCCAGACTCTGTAGGTAAATAAAACCCGGCGGACTGGAACCGTTTTAGGCAAAACAGTCGATCAGCAAACAGAGCCGAAGGCAAAGCAGCAGCGTTCCTTGAACGTGAGCAGTTTGCTGAGGCCACTTCAGGCAAAAGTCCTCTGGGCTAAAGGATGATATCAAATCTATGGAATAATATTCAACACCCAAGTTATATAAACTAGCAAAATTAAATCACCGATCAGTAGGGGTGTAACGATTCATTCACTGAATCGATTTATCGATTTATATTCCTGCCGGGAGTCCTCCATCTGCTGGGAGTCCTCCATCTGCTGGGAGTCCTCCATCTGCTGGGAGTCCTCCATCTGCTGGGAGTCCTCCATCTGCTGGGAGTCCTCCATCTGCCGGGAGTCCTCCATCTGCTGGGAGTCCTCCATCTGCCGGGAGTCCTCCATCTGCCGGGAGTCCACCATCTGCTGGGAGTCCTCCATCTGCTGGGAGTCCCTTGGACCCAGCTGTATTGGGCAACCTCTCCGCAGTATTTAAAGACCTCATAAAAAAACATCCTTGACTGCTTGTTGTCTTCTTAAGTTAAAGCATTTGCAAATTTAGGATTGCAGCAAAGCAAAGCAGATATTGAAATGTAAACAGAAGACTACGAATAAATAATATTCAACATTGAATTTTCAATCTAGAAGTTGTTTATATTACATATATATACACCACAATAAATATATATATATACTAAGGTCAATAAATTAAAACAAATGAACTAATTAACTAAAACGAATTAACTAATTAATGAATGTTGTTCTTGTTGTTCTTACAATGTTTGTTTTTCTTATGTTACTAATGTTAATCTGAAAAAGTCCTGAAATTACATTTCGTGACTTAAGTATAGTATTATTTATGAACTTGGACCTACAGAAGTACAGAAAAGTCCGGACTTAAAAACATATTAAGGACGGGTGTAAGATTGGCGCGGTTGAAAACCTGCTCTCTTTGCTTCTGCCTTCCGCTGTGACTGAGATGCTGGTGACATTTTCATACACACTAGTGAGATTACTCGTATGAATACATGTGAAACACTTGTATATGTATCTACACTTTTTATATCTTGCTAATTATATGCAAGAGATTGAGTAATGCATGTATAAGTGTTATTATATATATATATATATATATATATATATATATATATATATATATATATATATATACAACCTATTCATATGTGCATGTATGAGTGATGTTGTCGTTTTTTTTTCACCCCACTGTGAGGGGACGACGGCTTTGCCAGAGTGTAGAAAAGAAAGAAATCCTCTTTGTTGATCACTCGTTAAAGGTGTTAAAGTTCTGCGTGATCAGCTGCCGTGTACCACACAAGCACACGTGAAGGTTCTGAACACGGGTGACCCCAAACTGCACAGCACACAAGAGGGAGACAACAACCTGAGACAACCAGGGAAAAGGAACGCGATTAACAAAAGGCTCTTGTTCTCAGAAAGGAAAAAACACTGAACACGCGAAATAACTCAGGTCAGACCTGATGAGTAAGAGGGGGGGGGGGGGGCGATCAGTTACCCGCTTTACCAAAATCAAACGCTAGAGTGGCCCTTAACATCCCGTCAGAAAACACTATAAAATGTCTCAAGCTAAAGTAGGTTTCTCTGCTAAAACCCCAGTGATGCTGTAAGAGCGGCTCCAGACTCTGTAGGTGGATGAAACCCGGCACACTGAAGCCGTTTGGCTGTTTTGCCTAAAACGACTATCGCTGATCAGCGAACAGAGCCGAAGGCAAAGCAGCAGCGTTCCTTGATTGTGAGCAGTTTGCTGAGGCCACTTTGTACCAACGTTCTGCTCAAACCAGCCAAAAGTCCCCTAGAAGATGAAATCAAGTTAATAGAGTAATAATGAATGTAATAGTAAATGACATAAACTAGCAAAATATAATCACAGATTCAAGGTTTTCCTCGGGTACCTCTTCTCCTACTTTAGGCACAAACACGTCAGAAAACCGCCCAGTTCATCACTTCTTAATCACACGCAAGAAATCCTCTTTGTTTCGATTATTCGTCAAGGTGTCAAACTTCTGCAGAACGCGTTTCCCTGCGTGATCAGCTCTCCCTCCTCTAGCTGCTTCACTTCAGTTCGATCAGTTACTTCAGCAAAATCAAACGCTAGAGTGGCCTTTAACATCCCGCCAGAAAACACTATAAAGTGCCTCAAGCTAAAATAAGATTCTCTAAAAAAAAAAAGGTTGATGCTGTAAGAGCAGCTCCAGACTCTGTAGGGGAATGAAACCCGGCAGCGTTCCTTGATCGTGAGCACTTTGTACCAACGTTCTGCTCAAACCAGCCAGAAGGATGAAATCAAATGAATGGAATAAGAATAATAAACACCTAAATGATATGAACTGATGATTTGAAATCGCTTACCGATCAGGCAATACTGGTCTGCTCCAGAAGGAGGTGGTGCTGCTACAGGCGTCCTCATGAGCAAGATGCAGTTACCCACCCGACCCCATTAGACCATGAAGCTTATTAAACTCAGTTGACTCACCTGAGCAGGATGAGGGGAGCAAGATGTACAGGTATGATCAATATGATCGGCATCAGTCTGAGTCAATAATTCACTAGTTAACCCACTTAAATATGATTGAGTGCAGTTTTCCTCTTGATCTCATGGACACGTGTGTTCTTAATACAGCTGATACGACTACTTTCTCCAACATGAGTCTTCAGTGTCCCGTTCCTGCCAGGAGGGGGCGGTGTTTGCATGTATACTCATAGTTATCCATCCATCACTGTACGTAAGCCGATCTGCCAATATTCTTAAATTAAGCGTTAAATGACTCAAGTGTGCGTAAAACAAAGCACCAGGTCAAGTGTCAACTAGCAAATAATCCTAATTAAGTAGCTTCTTTCACATCAGGAGGTGCAGCTTTGTTACCAGATGGGTGCTGGATGAGTTGCAGTGTGAGTTTGGGAGATATCAACACCTTTTATTTCATCTGATGATGTCTAAAAGCTGCCAAATGAGCACAGAGACAAAATGTCCCCGACAGAAGATCCAGACTGTGAAAGGACACGCAGACACATGCGAGGTGATGCTGAGCCGAGCTTTAATCAGAAAGAGCAGAAGACCGGAGGATTCAACAACACTTCAGGGAGGGAGGGACACGAGTAAACACTGAGCTCCGTTTACATCACACTCACTTTCTATCTGTAGTCTGAAACCACATTAAAACCCCCTGTGTGTCTCACAAAGCATTAAAGTTGTGCGCTTGCACTGGTTACTAGAGGCCTCCATGACGCAGCTGGAGGAACCTTTGTGAGGAGGGAACCTTCATCAGGTGTCATCAGCCACGGCGCTGGACAGCAGTCCCTTATCAACCTGAGTATCTCAGATACTTAAAGATTTGTGTGAGTGTTTGTACCCATCTTTGAGGGGCGGCTTTGGAAATAGCCTTGGGAGCGTGTCGTGGGTCGTCGCTGTAACAGAAGGGCGTGACATCATCGCCGCTGTCGCATCTCGTGCACGGCACCGAGCCGTCGCACCGGAAGATGTTCTGCAGCCCGATCTGATTCCCGAGCAGCTGGAGGGCTCTTTCGAGTTTGCACTCGGGTGGCGCTTTTCCATTTTTAGGCTTAAACAAGTCGGAAAACACAACAGCGTAGTTTGTCCATTCCGTAATCACATTGATTTTTTCCAAAATGCTAAAACGACTCGTCTCGGAAGCACATTTCTGATCACACGGGGAAGCAAGAACGTAGAAAAGCAAGAAATCATCTTTGTTGCGATTAACCATCAAGGTGTTGAAGTTGTCCACAACGCGGGACTCTGCGTGATTGGCTCTTCCGTCACGAACTGCCCCAGGGCATTCTCTCTGGACCTCGGCCCACGTCATACCCCTGCCACATGTCAAAATCCCACATCGAAGGAGAACTCCCTTCCATGGTACCCGTGCATCAGGACACTGATCCAGAACATTCGGCCACTTCAAAACCGTGGCAGCGACCATCGTCTCGCTCGCGTAGACGTCACATCCTACGATCGCTTTCCTCACGTCATCGGGGCGGTCGGCGACTCGGCTGACGTCGTACCGTTGCACGCCGTGGTCGTACGGGATCCTCACAGCCAGACTGAACATGGGGTATCTGCTGTAAAAGGGAACAGAGACACCAGACGAGAGGCAGACTTCATCATAACAGTTAACAAAGACCATTTGAGCTTTTATCTTGAAAAGTAATTCCTTAGAAATGTTTGCTTCATCGCCTACTGACCATTGAGCTTGTTCATCGTTCAATTCCTCCTTGAATCTTGAGATGTAGGACGGTTGATACCTGCCAAATGAAAACAGAACCAAAATGTCACTGACGAGTTTGTAACAGAAGAGAAGATCAGAGCAGCGCGTTTTAATATTTATTCTAATTGTATCAGTATGGATTCATTCCGATTCTGCAAGAAAACGTTCAAAGCAAAAGGATTAGCGGCTCATTTTAGTGATCATTATTATTTCAAACGGAATAAAATTACAAAGGCAGCACCACTATAGTTTGACATATTTGCAGGTTATTTTTCCTTTTTTAAAGAATCATTTAAATCTGACAATATATTGAGCAAATATCCAATATATAAGATTGAAGTTTCTCATCTGTAGAAATAATTAATCTAGCATGAAAAATGTGAAAGAGAGCAGACGATTATAGAAATGTTCAATAAGATACGTTGAATTAATTTACAAACTGAAATGACACAAAGGCCTTTTTTGTTTTTACTATGAATAATGAAACATTCATCTAAATAACAGCATATTGAAATCAGATAATATAAATCAAATAAACTTTTCAAATGCAAATCATAATGTTTTTGCAATAATGAAACATGAAATCAGACCTGAAGTTAAGAACAACACAAACAAAAAAAAACAGTCTCTCAGTGCCTAATGACCCTCAATGAAATACAGAAAACATGTGATTCAACGAGCCAATCACAGTTGGTCTGTTATTTAACACCAGCTGACTCACCTGTTCCAGAGGTCATTGACGATTTCTGCAATTTGGGCCTCGTCTGGTCTTGGAAAATGAGCCCAAATATTCCCAACAGACAGCAACAGGCCCAGAGACACGGCCCCCCAGCACAGGCCCGCCATCCGTCCGCCAGCAAACATCAGAGGAAATGAGCTTTATTATAGAATACACAATATATATATATATTATTTATCCCGAGTCAGGATTATACTCACCTTCAAAGATCTAGAAACCTAAAATAGAAAAGGTACAAAAAACAAATGCATCAGCTCCATTTGTACAACTATTGTTTCCTCGAGATGTCAGAACAATATTATGTCACAAAACACAAACATGTCAATGTTTTATCTAACAATGTTTATTCTAACATTATTTTCTGATCATATTTTGTCAAACCTTTCTTTAAATTGACACAGTACCACTTGTTATCTCAGTCGTTCTGCATTAGTCCGTGTTTGTCTCTTGTGCATTTCGGGTTCTACCGCGTTCTGAGGCGGCCGTATTACCTGCTGCAGGGGAGAAGATGCTCGGTGCAGTCGCAGTCACTGCTCTCAGAAGGACAATCGACTCCTTATAAAGGACGCGATGGAGAAGCGTGACCAGGAGAAAGACGTTCCTGCGGTCTCACACAGGGTGGTGGACATTGCACAACGTTGCTGTGCAACAAGAAACAGAGGAGGGAAGTCAACGGTTTCCCAGAAAGAGTCAGAAAGGACTGTGAAGAGTTTTTTTTATACATTAAAGCAACCCACATGTTGAGAAATTCTTTACCATTATTTCTTCTTTTCTCCTTCCTCTTTATTTCAGCAGAAGGTCGGGCGGGGGGAGGGGGGGGGTGGGGGGGGGGCCGCTGGAACCTCGTGGAAAGGGGGGGGAGCCCCGTGGAAAAGGCGTTTGGGGGTCTATAGGGCTCCTTCCCGCACAGTGGGGATAAAACAATAAAT